CTGGGAACAATTGAGGGCAAAAGAAGAAGGGGACAACAGAGAATGAGGTGGCTGGATGGAGTCACCGAAGCAGTCGGCATGAGCGTAAATGGACTCCAGAGGATGGTAGAGAACAGGAAGGCCTGGAGAAAAGTTGTCCATGGAGTCACGATGGGTCGGACACGACTTCACGACTAACAACAACAACAGAACCCATGGTCTCCTACTTTCTAGCCCGATGCTTTAACCACTAACCAAAGTGGCTGTCTTCACTGATAAATTTCTAATCACAAAGAGTGGGCTCTTCAGTGTAAAATAATCCTAAATGGGATATACAGTATTTATAAAGACCCCAACCCTTTTACCATCAGTGACCTCATATTTTCAAGAGGTGTGGATATTACTTCCCCCCTCTCCCCCATACTGTACCAACTATTATGTGGTTCTAAATTTTGGAATAGCATCTATTTTGTTGAAATAGATTTTGGAACAGCCCTCTGTAACTTGGGTTCTCAAAAGAGTTCTTGACATCGATTCCTAAACTTCCTAGACAGACACACAATATTCAAGTCTTTTTTTTTTACTTCATTCTTACCTTGCCCTGCCCCTTCATCAGAACAATGTTGGAAATAATAGATGGCTGCGTCAGTCGCCAGGGGTACTCAACCTGTGCTGCACTCAGTGAACGAGTGGATTTCTTAACAATGTGGTATTCCTTCAGAAATAAAACAATCACAATATTTGCAAAAAAACTCAGAATGATTGCTTCTCAATTATAAGTTGTCTAACTTTGGTTTCTGGTTTGTAGCAAAAGCAATAGCATTTAGACTTATATAACGCTTCACAGTGCTTTACAGCCCTCTCTAAGCGGTTTTGCAGAGTCTGCATATTTCCCCCAACAATCTGGGTCCTCATTTTACCAATCTTGGAAGGAAGGAATGCTGAGTCAACCTTGAGCCAATCAGGATGAAACTACCAAACTGCTGGCAGCCAGCAGTAAGCAGAAATAGCCTGCAGTACTGCATTCTAACCACTGCGCCACCATGGCTCATGGTGGTAGCAAATAGTAATTAGTAATTACATTTTTGTACATGTAAGTGCTTAAATAAAGGTAGTCCTCAACTTACAACCACAACTGAGCCAAAAATTAATGTTGTTAAGTGAGAAATGTTTAAAGTGAGTTTTGTCCCATTTGACAACTTTTCTCGCTACCTTTATTAAGTGATTCACCACTGTTCTTAAATTAGTAACGCAGTTGTTAAGCGAATCTGGTTTCCTCATTGACTTTGCTTGTCAGAAGGTCGCAAAAGGGGATCACATGGCTATGGGACACTGCAACTGTCATAAATGAGAGTCAGTTGTCAAGCATCCTAATTGTAAATCACATGACCATGGGGGTGCTGCGATAGTCATAAGTATGAAAAATGGCCATAAGTCACTTTTTTCAGTGTCATTGTAACTTCGAACAGTCACTAAGTGAACTGTTGTAAATCGAGGACTATCTAACCACACAAACACACACGCACAAACACACACACCCTAAAGAAAACTGGGTAGAAAATAAATTAAGGTAAGTACCAGAGAACACAAGGAAGCATCTTCTAAAATTTTCTGCAATACGTTATACTTTTTAATTCAAATTAAATAAATATTCTACCACAGTGGTTCTCAACTTGTGGGTCGGGACCCCTTTGGGGGTCAAACGACCCTTTCACAGGGCAAGACCATCAGGAAACACATATTTTTGATGGTCTTAGGAACCGAGACACCAGTTTTATGGTTGTGGGTCACCACAACATGAGGAACAGTATTAAAGGGTCGTGGTATTGGGAAGGTTGAGAACCACTGTTCTACCATATACAAATAAGGCATCACAATAAGCTTTGCTTGCATATGAATTACAAGTAGTCCTCAACTTAGAACCATTCATTTGGCAACTGTTCGAAGTTACAACAGCGGCACTCAAAAACGACTTACGACCAGCCGTCCCAACATCCCGACGGTCACATGGCTGAAATTCAGGGATTTCGCCACCGATGTGTATTTACAATGGTTTCAATGTCCCAGCATCACATGACTTCCATTTGAGGCTTTCCCAACAAGCAACGTCAATGGCAAAAGCTGGATTCACTCAAGAAGTGCTGGATTCACTTAAGACCCGCAGTGATTCGCTTAACAACATGGCAAAAAATGGCTATTAAATCAGATGTGACTTATTTAACAGCCATGCTTGTTTAGCCACAGTTGCGTTCCCAATGGTGATTGTTAAGTCAAGGACTACCTGTACAGCTTTTGCATTCTGGTTCATGATTGAGTTACATTTGTTTTAATCTTTGGTCCCTCCCAGTGGTGGGTTTCAAATTTTTTTGGAACCTACTCTGTGGGTGTGGTCTCCTTTGTGGGAGTGGCTTGCCGGCCATGTGACCTGGTGGGAGTGGCTTGCNGCAAACATACCTTCTTTTAACCTGCCATCAGCTGCTGCAGCCCCATTTGGAAAAATTGTCTTGACAAAAATGCCCATACGACCCCTGGCGGAATCTTGTCCCCCCACAATGCTGAATCCAAGACCCTACATAGGTACAAATTAGAGCAGAGGAAGAGGAATAAATACCCCATAAGAATATCCATAGGCAAATACCCCATAACTTCCACGTATGTCTACGGAAATTCTCAGTCATACAGGTTATGGCTGTCCAAAGGTGCTTTTTCAAGAGGCAATTGGGATTTCTGGTCTTTCTTTGAAGACGTTTCGCTTCTCATCCAAGAAGCTTTTACAGCTCTGTTGCTTGTTGAAGCTGAGCTGAAGAAGCTTCTTGGATGAGAAGCGAAACGTCTTCGAAGAAAGACCAGAAATTCCAATAACCACTTGAAAAAGTACCTTTGGGATCCCACAACTTCACAAAACACAACAGGTATCCGATTGAGCAAACTAAACTAACTAAACTAGATTCAGTAAGAAAAAAGAAGGGAGAATAATACTATCTCAGCACAATGCTAGGTTGTAGAACTAGCAGAAGTGTCTGCATGCTGTTTTCAATGAGAGCCCGAAATACAGCTTTGGCAAAAGATCTTAAGATGTGGGCAGACTGCAAGAGGAAGAGACCTGAAATGAATAGGCAAATGTCCAATTCAAATTAGAGTTATGTGGGCAAATCTCACTGAATCTGTTTTAAATGCTGGCAATCAAGTTCTCCACTGAACTTCCTGACACTTCTTCAGAGGCAACCCAATTACCCAGTTTCCCCAAAAATAAGACCTCCCCAGATAATAAGCCCAATCAGGCTTTTGAGCGCATGCACTAAAATAAGCCCTCCCCTGAAAATAAGCCCTGCCCGAAAATATTGCAACACAGCACACTTGCCACCTCCTGCACCTCAAAAATAATAAGACCTCCACAAAAATAACGCCAAGCACTTATCTCTGGAGTCAAAAGAAAATAAGACCCTATCTTATTTTTGGGAAAACACGGTAGAACATTCTCAATAATCCAACAAGACAGTTTAGCAGTATTAATCACCTTGGCCAAATGATCCCTATCCAGGAATGGCCTGGGCAACAGCTGGCCAACCATTAAAAATGACATATTTGGGGCTAGTGAGGCTTTTTTTCCCGTCTTCCATTCAATTGTGTCTGATACTTGGAGACTGCCTAGACAAGTCCCTGAACTTTTCTTGGCAAGGTCTTTCTTTTTCAGAATCATTGGCCATTACCTTCTTTCTAGGGAGAGAAAGTGACCAGCTTAAGATCACTCAGCTGGTTTTGCACTTAAAGTCAGTCTAGAACTCATGGTTGGGTTTCCCAGTTGCAATGTATGGCTGTGAAAGTTGGACCATAAAAAAGGCTGAGCACCAAAGAATTGAAGCATTTGAACTATGGTTCTGGAGAACTATGGTTCTCCTGCAAGTCCCTTGGACTGCAAGGTGATCAAATTGGTCAGTCCTAGAGGAGATCAACCCTGACTGCTCTTTAGAAGGCCAGATCCTGAAGGTGAAACTCAAATACTTTGGCCACTTAATGGGAAGGAAGGACTCACTGGAGAAGAGCCTAATGCTGGGAACAATTGAGGGCAAAAGAAGAAGGGGACAACAGAGAATGAGGTGGCTGGATGGAGTCACCGAAGCAGTCGNTGTTAAAGGGTATTTTTTTCCTGTCCCTGTCCTTCCCCCTCTGTTACATCTCTCGTGCTTTTTATCCATCAAAACTTTTGAGCCTACATGTCACCTATTTCCCTAATGATTCCAGATTTAGAAGGAGAAATTAAAAAAAACAACACCCAGTTAAATAAAAACCATCAAAAACCCCTGTGGAAATAAACATGGCTTCAGCCATGGTTCATCTTTTCTAGGCTATTCTGGGAAGTCAAAATAAAAATTCCCAGGAGGCAAACCACTCCTGGAACATTACCAGGAAAACTCAAGGACATCTGTGCCTTTTTAAATAAATATGCTCCGAGCCTCCTTTTCAACTCTAATGATGGGGAGGATGGTTTTCAACGTCAGTGGCAATTTATTCCATGACTAGATAGTTTATAAAAAACGTGGACATGGTAAATCCTTGGATTAGAGCCAACAAGAAAAACCTAGCAAAATTTGGGGTGGGTTGGGGGAGAAACCATTCTGCAAAAAGCAAAGGCAAGCCATATTCATAACACTGCATGGATCTGTCCATAAAATCACAAAGCATCAAGTTCAACTTGAAGGAGGCTTTACATATTTAGGGCTTCCACCTCAGGAATGACACCACAGGCCTTATAAAACAACAGCCCCCAACCTTTGGGGCACCAGAAACCGGTTCTGTGGAGAAAGGTTTTCCCACGGACAGGAAGTCCCATGGTTTTGTGTACTCTCTGCATCCCATGGATGGTGTTTCCCTGCCCGATTGCTGGCATGTCGCTGACCAATGCTGGTCCACGGACTGGAGGGGTTGGGGAACCCTGTTGTAAAAGATCTTCAGTGCCAAACATAACTTCATACCAAATAAGTGGACTACCACAATTCGCCTTGGTGTCACAAAGATTTCTTGAATTGGCTTCTATCCTACCCAACAGGAAGAAGTCCCATGTGTTTCATTTCAGTGTGGTTAGACAAATACTTCCAGTGGTGTGTTAAATCTACTCATGCAGAGTTCTTGGTATATTATCAGTTTCTATGTGACTATTTTAATATTTTGCATGGGGCAGCCAGAAGACAGCATGTGATTATTATTATTTTTTTACATGTAATGTTGGAAGTTTCCCATCCACAAATTTCAATGCAATTTCAACAAAACCAATTTGCTTTTATAGCGTAGTTTCCATTACCTGCCCCCAAAGCCTTTCCCACCATCTCGGTTCCTTCTAGACGCGCCAGACAAACAATTTGATCACTAACCATCCCAGCTCAGATTTACAGGAAAAGGAGTCCAACACTTATTAAAATCTTATTATTGTTTTTATCCCCCGCCCTTTCTAAAATCTTCCTTAGGATGTTTTCGCTGCTTTGCCAAAGCACTTTGGGCCATGATTATTTTCACCAGAACAAAAATAGTCGCATTTTCTCAAACCTTTATTTAGAGTGACTTCCATGACGATTCTGTCCTTTGGTCCAGGTCCTTTACGACTAGAAGAGGAAGCATCTCCATCTTCACCACTGGGAAATGAGGCACCTCCACTGGCATTGGAGCTTGGAGAACTGGACCGGCTCAGTAATATGGGAGTTGGGCATGGCGTAAGGCTTGGGCTGCGAAGTCTGGTTCGCACTGTGAGAGTCACCACACCTTTCTTCAGTTGCTACAAAAGCAACAGAGTTGTTAGGTTTATAGTATCACCACTCTTCCTTTGTCTCAAAAACTAAGACATAAATTACACCTCTAGAACTTGGAACGTGTCTGGAATCATTATGTGGAACACCTGCTCTTGAATAAAAAACACAGTATGGTGGGAATTGATCAGTACAGTGGATCATTCTGTACAATTTGATTTAGAAGTTCTGTTGCCAATGTGTGTGCAGGTAGTCCTTGACTTATGACCACGATTGAGCCCAACATTTTTGTTGCTAACATTTATTAAGTGAATTTTGCATCATTCTACGACCCTTTGTGCCACAGCTGTTAAGTGAATCACTGCAATTGTTAAGTTAGTAACATGGTTGTTAAGAGAATATGGTTTCCCCATTGACTTTGCTTGTCAGAAGCTCACAAAAGGATAACGTGATCCTGGGACCCTGCAACCATCATAAATATAAGTTCATTGCCAATCATCTGAATTTTGATCACGTGACCATGGGGTTACTGACAACCATCTCAGTAAGTGTGAAAAACAGTCATGTCATTTTCCCCCCGATGCCATTGTAACTTTGAACCATCAATAAATAAACTGTTGTAAATCGAGAATTACTTGTACTATCTTATGAACATATTCCTTTACCTAAGGAATATTTTTTACCAACCTTGCCTAAGATACCTTTCATGG